AGAATTCAGATAACACCCTGCTGAATTCTCCCTAACACTAATCTTTCTTTCTTATCTCCTCCTAAAGGCAATATGCTCTGGTAATTCTGGATAATCATTGGTTTTATCTTTCTAATAATTCTCATTTTGTCTTTTTATGAGTGCCGCTGGAACCTGAGGCTAGTACCAGGAGGAGAACTCGTCTGCTCTTGCTAGGACACAGAAGCACCATAAAATTACTGTTTCCTCATCATGAATTGTTAGACTACACCTTGTCATGCCGTCCTTGGCTACATCTGCCTGGCAGGAATTGTCATAATACTACTCTTTGTCCTAGCGGTTCACTGTTATAGAAATAGTGAACAGAAATAGAGGGAATAACATGCTCCCACTAATAATATTAGCTAGCACATACTTGCCTCCCATAGGGGCCACTGCCATGTATCCTTGCTTAGAAACTCACTACCCAAATATGCTAGACTGGGTAGTCTACGGAAAAGCCCCATCAAGCCAGATATTTGTTAGCTATACTTATCAGCCTGCAGCATGTTATGACTCCGCTACCAAATGCATGTAGGGGGGAGGGGGGAGGAATTGTATTGGATGGAAAAAAAAATAATAGGACCTGTCACGGCCAATGTGCAGCTAACTAATTTTGCTCCTATTTGTTTCAGCAATACCCAGGGCCAACATCCAACAGGTCACCTCCCAGATGAACTATGCAACTCTACCCCAAGGCTGAAAACACCACCTACCTCTGGTGCCCCCTGCAGGAACATTCTACACGTGTGAGACCAGTGCTTACCTCTGCCTGCCTGAAACCAGAAGAACTCCCTACAAACCTTCCGAGAGGAAGAAACGGGTTGCTAACCCCTTTGTCATTGCCCTTTTCCAGCCGGAAGTAGCTAAGAGCAGTCATCACCCCTGTTCACCATAACATCCCGTGGTCGTTGCTCCACAAAGCTAAAAGAAGCTTGTGGGACAAGGGGGCGGGGCGGCGGGGGATGAGAAGGCTAAAAAGGGCTAATTCAAATGTAACCCTGATATTTTGGGGGCTAGCAATTGGAATTCATGCCAATAAGCTCAGTGTGCATTCTTGATGACCTATAATTAGGTCATTGCCTCCTAACCAGAAACTGGTCTTGCAAGGCGTGTCAGGCCATAGAAACTGTGAACTGCTCTGCAGGGGGGGCCTGGGGGGGGGAGGTTGTTATGGCTGGCCCCAGGACAGATCATCAATACCTGTAAGCCTTCCTGTAAGCCCACAAAAGGGGGCGGAACCATATCTGCAAGACAAAGACCCCAGAAGGTTATAAAAAGTGAATCCCTCTGCGTATTACTTCACTGATTTGGAAATTATTCCCAGAGTCCACTAGTGTTAATAAAAGGGGTACCTCCCTTTCTCTAGGAAGCATGCTTGGTATTTCTTTGCTCTTCTGTAACAATTCCAAATTTAGAAGACAAAAAACTAAAAAATATATAAATAAAAAAGACTTCTTCTATTTGGGGGCCCCAGAATTTGAAAAGCAATATTTCCTCTGGCCCGCTAGCGCTAGTGAAATAAAAAGACTCCAAATTAATTTGGCTTATTAATTAAGGCGTCTTCTCATTTACAATATAGCAGTCTCACACTAAGTGTTCCACTAGGCACATTTCTCCATTAACTTTGAACTTCTCTTCCCCACCATGGCAACCAGACCATCTGCTTTCCTTACTTTGAAAGCCTACCCATTTTCCCAACCAGCATCCTTTGTTTGCCTGTTGGACTCAGCCAGTCCTTACTAACTTAGCCAGAATCCTTCATTTACATAAAGAGGATTGAATAGAGGACAGCATGCAGAGCCTGAAACTTTGTAAACGCTGCCTTCTTTGTCTCCTTCGGAACACTATTTGGGTTTCTGCCTGAATCAGTGTTTCCCAGGTAGCTGTCCTTTTGGCTCTCAAATAAACGCTTGTTGCCTCTCACCACGGCCTTTTACTTTTAGGTTAACAAGTATACTCCTAAATGTCCACTCTTGTGTCTAACACCAGTCAGGCCTCAGAGAAATGTTTCTCCACAAGCCTTGCCCTGCGTCCTTGAAACAAACCCCATAAAACTCTGTGAGCTGGACCATTATCAAAGTCAGATGTGAACACTCTGTCAAGCTTTGGAAGACAGGAAGAGTGTGAGTGGTAGAAGCAAGAGAAAAGAGACATATTCCTCTCCGATGAAAGAACATCAAAGGTTATTGCATAATGGAATCTCATTTCCTAGCAGTGGAAAGCATCCTTTCTTTTATTTTTTTTTAATAGTCCAAATTGTGATTCTGGAAGGATTAATACATCAGTCCAGTATTTGCAACATTTGCTCAAGGTAGCTGGAGTGGGTTGAAGAGTATCCCCCCAAATTTCATGTCCACCCCAAACCTCAAAATGTAATCTTATTTGGAAAGTAGAGGCCTGGTGCATGAAATTCTTGCATGGGTAAGGTCCCTAGGCCTGCCTGGCAATCAGGGCCGATTTGTGGGGTGACCAGCAGAGTGATTGGTGCCCCCGCTTTCACTTGCCTTGTCCTGGCGCCGCCCACTCGCCAGCCCCACCCCCCACCGCCACCACCAGTCAGGGCCTGCAGGCTGGGGACAGCTCCTGCATTGAGCTTCTGCCCCCTGGTGGTCAGTGAGTGTCATAGAGTCTGGTCATTCTGCCAGTTCGGTTGATTTGCATATTAGGGTTTTATATAGATAGATAGAGTCTCTGTAGACATAATCAGTTAAGTTAAGGTCATTGAGTGAATTAGGCTGGGCCCTAAATCCAGTGACTGGTGTCCTTATAAGGAAAGGAGAGGACACCCAGAGACACACGGGGAAAAAAGCCATTGAGGAGGTGGCAGAGACTGCAGTGTTGCATCTACAAGCCAAGGAACACCAGGAGCATTCTTTTCCTTTCAGCACTGTTCTGTGGTTCTCATTGAACAAATCTTTCTCCTCCTCAGTTAACTCCTAAGTTTTTTATTCCTTTGATGCTAAGGTAAATAGGGTTGTTTTCATCATTACCTTTTCAGATTGCTCATTGGTCATATATGGCCATATTTCCACTGCCCCACTGTCATATTTTTTAAGCTAAGTAGCTTAGATCAGTAGCTCCAAGGACCCAGTTAAAGGGAATTCATGGGGTAAAGGGTCATTTTAAATGACACCAAGGAGATACAGAGAGCAAAATCCAGATGTGGCTCTGTCCAAAATTATTTGGGGGGGAAGGAGAGAAAAGCTATAGTTTAAGAGACTTAAACACACAAAATCAAGTGCAATGTGTGGACCTCAATTGGATCCTGATTTGAAAAAGCAGGAAAAATAATTGTATGAGACAGGTAAGGAAATCCATTCATTGACTGGCTATTTAACCATATTAGGTATTTTAAATTCTATTAGATATAAGAACTGAGACCATGTATTTCAACATGACTTAATGGTTTGTTCCAAGAAAGTCTTGCCTAGAAGGCAACATCTATAAAACAATGAAGAACTCATTAATTGCCCTGGCCAGTTTGGCTCATTGGTTAGAGCACCGGCGGGGTGACCAAAGGTGGTGGGTTGGATTTCCGGTCAAGGACACATCCCTATCGATGTGCCTCTCTCAGGTTGATGTCTCTCTCTCTCTCTCTCTCTCTCTCTCTCTCTCTTCTCCTTCCCTTCCACTCTGTCTGAAAATCAATGAAAAAAATATCCCCAGGTGAGGATTTCTTTTGTAGGGAGAACCATTTGTTTGGTAAATCACAGAGGTAGAAGAAGTAATTCCTAGAAGAAATGGGCTTAGGAAACAAGTTATAGAAGTAAAGGAAGGGCCCTTGGAGCTTTGGAGTGAGGAAGCCTTTGGCAGGGAGAGGGAGGGGGAAAGCTCCCGAGAGGGAGAGCACCCTGGTGAGGATTAAGAGAGAGAGAGAGACAGAGAGAGAGAGAGAGAGAGAGAGAGAACTCATTTGCTCCAGAGAATTCCTGCAAACCAATTGATCTGGGCAGTTTGTTTACCTGGGCAACCCGCTCTCCTGTCAGGATAACAGATTGCTCACCTGGGCAAAAAGCTCACTTATCAGACAACAGTTTGCACATCAAGACTTGTTCCAAGACCCCCATTTTGTCGTGTTCACCAATCCTAAAGTATTGTGTCAGAATCCTTACCCAGTCCTGACGAGTTCCTTGCTTTGAAAAACCCACCCCAGATTGCCTTATTTAATTTTCCCCGTGGTGGCCCAGCGGAGACACTGGTGGTCTTTGTGAGTCAACCATTAACAGGTATAATAATAGTTTTGTGGAGTGTTTATTAAAAAGGGGGAGTTTAGCCCTAGCCGGTGTGGCTCAGTTGGTTGAGTATCGTCCCATGCATCAAAAGGTTACTGGTTCGATTCCCGGTCGGGGCACATGCCTGGCTTGCTGGCTTCATCCCTGGTAGGGGACATGCAGGAGGCCACCCATCAGTGTTTTTCCCTTTCATCAATGTTTCTTTCTCTCTCTCCTCTCCCTTCCTTTCTCTCTAAAAATCAATTTTTAAAAATATTTTTTAAAAGGGGGTAGTTTATCTTTTTTAAAAATATATTTTTATTGATTTCAGAGAGGAAGGGAGAGGGAGAGAGAGATAGAAACATCAATGATGAGAGAGAATCATTGATCGGCTGCCTCCTGCTCGCCCCCCACTGGAGATGAGACACAACTGCAACCGGGGCATGTGCCCTGACTGGGAATCAAACCGTGACCTTCAGGTTCATAGGTCGATGTTCAACCACTGAGCCATGCCTGGCCAGGCTGAAAAACTATATACAAATTAAATGAAATAAAGTCTGAGATTTTCTTCAACACAATATGGGATGGAGAATGGATGGGAGCATAGAAGAAACGAAATTGACTTTAAGGTGATTATTGTTGAAGCTTTTTGGTAGCTACCTGGAGTTTCCTATACTATTTGTGTCTACTTATGTATGTTTGCAATTGTACATAATAAAAGGGGTTTTTTAAGTGGTCTACTCAGATGGCATTATTGGAGTCATACTTGAGCTTCCTCTCTTCCTCTCCTACCCTACATCCAATCCATTAGCATATCTGACCTTCAAACTTTCTTCAGAACCTGACCATTGCTCATTACCACCACTGCCTTTTCCCAGCTGGCCCAACTCCACCATTTCCCACCTTGATTACTAAAAAAGCCAATGGTCTCTATGCCTCAGCCTTTGCCATTCTATTTTCAACACAGCAACCAGGATAATCCTTTTTAAAAATAAGTCCAGTCCTGACTGGTGTGGCTCAGTTGGTTGGAGCATCGTCCCATACATGAAAAGGTGACGGGTTCAGTTTCCTGTCAGGGCGCATACCCAGGTTGTTGGTTCAATCCCTGGTCAGGGCTTGTGCAGAAGGCAACTGATGGATGTTTCTCTCACATCGATGTTTCTCTCTCTTTCTAAAATCAATTAAAATGAATAAATAACCCGGTCAGTGTGGTTCAGTGGTTGAGCATCGACCCAGGAACCAAGAGATCCCAATATGATTCTCAGTCAGGGCACATGCCTGGGTTGCAGGCTTGTGGGGTACCGGAGGCAGCCAATCAGTGATTCTCATTATTGATGTTTCTATCTCTCTCTCCCTCTCCCTTCCTCTCAGAAATCAATAAAAATATTTTTAAATGAATAAATAAATTTAACCCTCTTCTCCGAACCCTGCAATGGCTCTCCCCTCACTCAGAGTCAAACTTCTTACAGGGGCCTACAAGGGCCTACACTCTCTGTACCACCCCTTCCTTTCTCTGACCTCCTCTTCTCAGACACATCCCATGGGTCACTCTACTCCAGCCACACTGGCCTCCTTCCTGTTCCAACCCACCAGCATGCTCCCACCTCAGGACCTTTGCACCTGCTGGTCCCTCTGTTCCATGGTGCCACCTCCTTCAGGTCTTTACACAGATGTCCCCTTCTCACTGAGGCCTTCTCTGACCACCCTCCTGAAAAGTACAGCCATCCTCCCCAACACAGGCACACCTTTTCCCCACCTTTTTTAAAATATATATTTTTATTGATTGCAGAGAGAAAGGGAGAGGGAGAGAGAAATAAAAACATCAACGAGAGAGAAATATCATTGATTGATTGTCTCCTACACACCCCCCACCGGGGATCTAGCCAGCAACCCAGGCATGTGCCCTGACCAGGAATCGACCTGTGACCTCCTAGCTCATAGGTCAACGTTCAACGTCCGAGCCACACCTGCTGGGCCCCACCTTTTTTTTTTCTCTCTCTCCTTTGTCCCTATCGCATCATATGTCATACTTGTTTATAGTATTTCTTGTCTTCCTCCTTAGGAAACAAGTTCTCCAGGAACAGTGATTTCTGTCTGTTCTGTCCCCTGCTGTAGCCCCAGTGACTGGAACAGTGCCTGGGACAGAACATGTACTCAGTAAATAGTGATTCAATGACTTTGGTCACCATTGTCTTCCTTGCCACCTCCCCGGCCTTGGTACTATTTACTTGTCCAGGGTTCAAATTCAGCTGCTAGATCCAGATAGGATAATTAGGAAAGAAGGTCTTGATTTTTCTTAATTATTATCTTAAGGGAAGAGAGAGGCAGGGCCCTGGCACAGCAGTCTACAGTGGTCCAGATAAATGATGGCCCATGAAGCAGAACTTTGCGAGGGGTGCCTCTGGAGTGGGACCCAGGCCTTCAGACAATGGCATTCCCATAAATGAGCTAATGTGCCAGGAGATTGAAAAAGATGTCCAATTTCCCTCCCTAGGAACCCAGGAAATGCAAATTAAAACAAGTCACCTTGGCAGCTTTACAAAGAGAGAAAAGCAGCAGCCAGAAATTTGCAAACTTTATTCAAGACACACTTTCAATGCAGTGTTTTATTTTCTGGGTGTGTCTCAAGACAAATGACTCAAATTTCTGAGTCTTTTAGAAATATCGAAATAATTATCTCACAGAATTAAAAATACCAGTATGACTTTGAAAAAAATGTTTGGCAGTACCAACGAAGACTAAACATACGTGTGCCAAATGGCCTTGCAATTAATTCCACATCTGGGTGTACACCCAAGAAAAATAATTGCCTATATTTATGTAAAAGAATGCTAATGGCAGCTCTATTTATAGTAGCTAAAAACTGAACCAGCCCAAATGTGCATCAACAACAGGCTTGGGTAAATAAATGTGGGATATTCATAAAGTGAAATGCTTCATGGCAATCTCGAAAAATATCAGTACTGCTACATGCAACAACATGGTTGAATCTCATGACATAATGTTGAGTAAAAAAGTCAGAGACAACGGAATACAATTCCTTTTATATAAATATCAGAAACAGGCTAACCTAACTCGTCTTGAGAAAAATCAGAAAGAGATTAACCTTGGGTGGTACTGACTGGAAGGAGGCACAAGGAAACCAGAGACGACTAGAATGCTCTGTGTCCTAGTGGCTTCATGGACGTTTGCATTCATAAATTCATCGAGTTGCACACTAAGTTATAAGTGTTGTGCTCTAAGTTATACCACAACAAAAAGTTAAAATTTTGCCCAGCCGGCGTGGCTCAGAGGTTGAGCATCAACCTATGAACCAAAAGGTCATGGTTCGGGTCACATGCCCGGGTTGCAAGCTTGATCCCCAGTGGGTGGCCTGCAGGAGCAGCCGATCAATGATTCTCATCATTGATGTTTCTATCTCTTTCCCTCTCCCGTCCCCTCTCTGAAATCAATAAAAATATATTTTTTTAAAGTTAAGCTTTTGAAAAATTTCCATAAAAGAGAATAAACGAGTATGTCAGTCTTTTCAAGACACGAAATAGCAAGACTGGCAGGTGGAACCCACACATGGAGAACCGGCACCAGGTTCTCAGATTCCCTCTCTCGCCACAAGGTGGCTCTCTCCACTCCCTCAAGGCTCCGACCGAGTCCTCTGGGAAAACCAGCTGGAGATGACATTGCGGCTCAGAGGTATCCCTGCAGGCGGATTGCGTGCTCCAGGACCGGGACCGGGACCGGGAGCGTGGGCCTAGCGTGAGAATGCTGTGAATGACTCCGGCCCCGGAAGAGCGTGACCCGTTCGAGCTCCGTCATTTCCTAGCAATGACATTGGGAGTGTTCCTTATCTCCTCGGTGCCTCGGCATCCTCACTCGTAAGGTGGAAGTACCAATAGTGCATTCCTCAGGGTGTGGTTGCTGCTGGTGGTGCTGTTGCAGTTACTGAGAAATGACTAGAGCCTCATGAAGCTCTTAGCACATCACCTGGCACAGAAGAGAGCTCAAGCCTGGCCCGGGTGGCTCAGCGGTTGAACTTTGACCCATGCACCAAGAGGTCGCCACTTTGATTCCTATCTGGGCACATGCCCGGGTTTGGGGCTCAATCCCTGGCAGGGGATATGCAAATGGCAGCCCATAAATGCTGATGTTTCTCTTGTCGATGTTTCTATCTCTCTCTCTCTCTCCCTTCCTCTCTCTCTCTAAAATCAATAAAAATGGAGAAAAAGAAGAAGGGGGAGGAGGAGGGAGAGAGTAGGAGGAGGATCTCTCCCTTTCTCTCTCTCTCTAAAATCAATAAAAACGAAGAAAAAGAAGAAGGGGGAGGAGGGGATGGAGAGGAAGAAGGAGAGATCACACCCATTCTGGCTTCTGTGTTCTTTTCTAGGATGTCACGGCCTATTCACAGCCACCAGAGCCAGTCCTGGTCCAGATATGTGGCCCCAAGAGTTTCATGGGTTTTCTGTAGGTACCAAAGCTGTGCCCCTCAATGTGAGAGATAGGATAATGCCCCCCAAAGATTTCCATATCTTAAAGCCCAGGACCTGTGGTTATGTTACCTTACATGGCAAAAGGGACCTCAAAGGTGTGATTAATTTAAGGATGTTGAGATGAAGAGATTATCCTGGATTATCAGGAAAGGTCTAATGTAATCACCTGGGTCCTTACAAGGGGGAGGCAGGAGAATCAGAGTCAGAGAAGAAGCCGTGACCGTGGAAGCAGATCAGAGGGATGTGGCTAGGAGCCAAGGAATGCAGGCAGCCTCTGGAAACTGGGAAAGGCAAGGAGCAATTTCTCTCCCGAGCCTCTGTAAGGCACACAGCCTTTTACTTTAGCCCTGTAAGGCCTACTTAAGATTTCTGACCTCCAGAACTGGAAGATAATAAAACTGTGTTGCTTCAAGCCACTAAGTTTGGGGTAATTTGTTACAGCGGCAATTGGAAACTAATACACTCAACTTCAAGCAATGTCTGGGTAACTTTGTGGTGTTTGTAGTTGCACATCATAATTTGTTTTGCTTCTTTAAGAGGCAAATACCACCTCATGGTTCAGAATTCAGTAAGTACATACAACCACTTTGGAAAACGGTCAGTATTTAGCTGAACACATGCCTACCCTGAGACCCTGCAGTCTGGTCCTGCCTACGTGCGAGACAGAAATGCAAGATATGTCCACCCAAGATAGGGCCCCTACGAGAATGTTCCTAGCAGCACTCTTTGTAACGGCCAAGAACTGGAGGCAGTCCAAATGCCTGTCAACAATAGGATGGCTAAATAAATACACCCATCATCTCATACATAGCACCTCAGGCCCTGAATCCTTCCCCTCCTCAGAACTCACAGTGCGGAGGAGCGAGTATCAATATCCCTGGGAGAGTATGACCCCTTGTAAATAATTATGCTATCGATAGTCAGTGTCCATGTAAGAAACATTCAAATCTGTAGGGAATTTTTATAAGTTTTTTTGACCCAAACTGACAACAATTGCCAGGAAGCAAAGCATCAAGGGATTGAGATAATGCTCTGGAAAATGGCAGTTTCACCACTTATTTTATACATTAGATTTAAAGGGCAAGATGTAAGGGGGCTACATGAAATTCATTGGTGATAGGTTAGGGAGGCAGGAGAAAGCAGAGCAGGGGAAATCTCTGGTATTGGTTAAAAAGTAAAACACATAGACACTTACTTTACATTTGTGGGTATGGGGTAGTTAACAGTCAATAATTAACATGATAATAATAACAATAACAAGAGGATTTGTGGTGTCCACCCTGAGGGGTCCCGGAAAAAGGGAAGTTGCCTTGACATTCCAAACGTATGTTATCATAGATGCAAAAAGACAATAGACAGCCTGGCCGCTCAGTCAGTGGTTGAGCATCGACCTATGAACCAGGGAGTAATGGTTCAATTCTCAGTCAGAACACATGTCTGGGTTGCAGGCTTGATCCCCAGTAGGGGGAGTACAGGAGGCAGCCAATCAATGATTCTCTCTCATCATTGATGTTTCTATCTCTCTCTCCCTCTCCCTTCCTCTCTGAAATCAATAAAAATATATATTTTTAAAAGACAATAGACAGGCTCAATTAAGGTAAAGACGAACTGTCAAGGAAGATTCTAGCCTAGGACATGACTGCCCACCATAACCTGCTTTTAGTTAAAAAGCTTTAATTTCAGACCATCCTATGTGGTTACTTTTGGTCTCTGAGTTTGTAAGGCTGAGCTTGTCAGGTTTAGTACGTGGCCCCTTTTCATCCACATTAGTATTTAAGGAGTGCTTACAGCACAGCAGGGTTACAGCCACATCATCCTCACAACACTACTGTTACCAGAGAGCCCCCTGCGTCAGAGGTGTGGGGGGGGAGGGGTCTATCCTCTTTGGCTCTTGTCAATCTCATGAGAAGAAATTTAGATGAGTGACAGAAAGCAGCATTGAAGCATGAAGCAAAGCTAGCAAATTTATTAGAATACACGTCGGGGGTGGGCTGGAGATCAATGGAGGGGGAAGGGACATATGTAACTTTCAACAATAAAGAATTTTTTTTAAAAGAGAGAGAGAGGAGAACCGGCATCATGGAACAGAGTACTTTATTCCTCCCTCAGAATGAACGGAGACCAGAAATTGGATGTTTATGACCAAAAAAAGCAGAATTTCATCCAGCACTTCTCCCAGATTGTCGAAGGGACAGTAATAAGGAGCCCTGGGGTCTTATTCCACTCTTCCCTCTTCTCCTAGCTCCAGGCTTTCTTCCTGGTGGCAGACGACATTATGGACTCATCCCTCACCCGACGGGGGCAGATCTGCTGGTATCAGAAGGTAAAGTAGACTCACGGGAAAGTCGCAGTGGGCATGGAAACAGGCCACAGGGAGGCGGTTACATAGAGCCTATTGAGGTGTTCAGAGTGACAGGATCTTGGTATGAGTCTAGGCCAGAGACTGATTGCTTGTTTTCTGTCCCCTGACAGCCAGGCATTGGTTTGGATGCCGTGAATGATGCTATGCTCCTGGAAGCCTGTATCTACCGCCTGCTGAAGCTCTACTGCCGGGAGCAGCCCTATTACCTGAACCTGATGGAACTCTTCCTGCAGACTTCCTATCAGACTGAGATTGGACAGACCCTGGACCTCATCACAGCCCCGCAGAGCAACGTGGATCTTGGCAGATTCACTGAAAAGAGGTACAAATCTATTGTCAAGTATAAGACAGCTTTCTACTCCTTCTACCTTCCTGTAGCTGCTGCCATGTATATGGCAGGCATTGACGGGGAGAAGGAACACGCAAATGCCAAGAAGATCCTGCTGGAGATTGGAGAGCTCTTTCAGATCCAGGATGATTACCTTGATCTCTTTGGGGACTCCAGTGTGACGGGCAAGATTGGCACTGACATCCAGGACAACAAATGCAGCTGCCTGGTGGTACAGTGTCTGCAGCGGGCCTCGCCGGAACAGCGCCAGATCCTGCAGGAGAATTATGGGCAGAAAGAAGCTGAGAAGGTGGCCCGGGTGAAGGCACTCTACGAGGAGCTGAATCTGCAGGCCGTGTTTATGCAATATGAGGAAGACAGTTACAGCCGCCTTCTGGGTCTCATCGAGCAGTACTCTTCGCCCCTGCCCCAAGCCATCTTCCTGAGGCTAGCACAGAAGATCTACAAGCGGAAAAAGTGACCCAGAGACTGCCAGGGCGGGGAGGGGACATAATAATAAAAAAAAAATAAAAGAGAGAGAGAGAGCACAAATGGGCAACTCGGGTAGTCTGAGCACCCCATCCAGTGGGAGTTCAAAAGGTTTTATACCCTCTTCCCTATAGGTTTCAAAGCTCCCCTGCTGGATATCTTGGGTAGCAGACTAGGTTTCAAAGTCCCCTTCTACATTGTTGCGGCTTATCTCGGGAATGTTTGTACATACATCTGGTCATCTTGCTTGGCAAGTCCTACAAAGGCTGACTTCTTTGTTCAGTGGATAAGATAAGCTCTCCTTCTTTTCCCCTTCCCCTCCTTTCTGCCTTAGTAACTATCTATTCTGCCTAACAACATCAGTGCTTTTATGATCCCATTTTACAGATGAGGAAACTGAGGCACAGAAAGTCTAAATAAGATGCTAAAGCATGCTTACCAGTGCAGAAAAAGGATTTGAGCCCAGCAGTCTGACTCAGCTGTGAGCATGGGAACTATGGAAATCCAGGATTGGGGTGTAGCCTGGGAGCTGCCAGCTTGCCCCCCTTGCAGCTGAGAAATGTGGAACCCTCAGGACCCAGCTGCAAGGCCAGAGGCCTCAATGCCCAGTCGGGATGCGCTTTCTAATCCTTGGGCCGTCCCTACACGTGGGCAGCCTCCCAGGAGGTGGGTGGGCACAGGCTGAGGCTGCCAGGGTGTGAGGCTGATAATGTCCTTGCCCGCTCCAAGCTGGGCATAGGACTTTGTTTCTGGGGTGATAGTCAGTGCTGAGGAAGCCTTAGGAACACAGTGATGGGCAGGGGGAGCCAGGAGTAACTCTGATATTGTAAAAGCCCAACACTTGACGCGGGTTCTTTGCTCTGGGCCAGAATAGTATCTCCGCGTGGCGAGGACATACTAGTGTCTCCCGGTGCTCGGAGACCAAGGACCAGGCAAGTTGAGTTCTGATCAGTAAAACACAGAGAAATTAACCCCATAAATGCACCACGAGGGACAGTAAATCTTCCAAACGCGGGAGACTGGGCTTGGTTTTCCCAGATTCGCTGTGAAAGCATCACTGTTGTTACAGACGTGAGCCTCTCGAAGCCTGTGAGCCCTGAGGACGGGAAGCCGCTCCCGGAGACCAGGAACCAGGAAAACCCACGCCCACAGTTCCTGTAAGAACGACAGCCTGGTCCTCCATCTGTGACGGGGAGACAGGGGAGTGTGCTGGCCTCTGCAGCGGGCCCTGAGCCAGGACAGCTGTTTCTGCTCTGCGGGAGACAGCCGGCCAGCCTCACTTCACCAGGGAAGTTCTAGAGTCATCTGGGTCCGGTTCTTTTCACAAAACAGCAAAGTCCTGGGAAACTGGCTTGTGCAAACTAGGAACTTCCCTTCCTTAGTGAAATGGAGGCACCCGTCCTCCGGCCTCATGTGCTGTTGTGACAACTAAGTGGCTCTGAACGGAACCAGGATGCCAGGCGAGTTTGCGAGGCCTGAAGCTTATGCAAGAACTGTCAGAAAATGCTTTGAAATGAACTCAGAAGGTCTTGGGCTTCATGAAACCCTCATCCTCACTTTTGCTTATGAACTAATGTTTAATTGAGCTGAAGGTAAAAATTAAGAAAAGCATAAAGCAATGTATAATAGATAGATATGTAGATGCAGAGGCAAAGCTAAGTTAATCAACCCTAAAACAGGTCACTCAGCAAGTACGCGTGCAGCCGAAGCTTCCTGCTGCTTCCTGCAAACGGCCACACCCAAGCAAGAAATGCCAACGCCATGGCTTCTTCGCTGCGGCACCCTCTCCCGCTGTGTTCCCTCCCCCCACACAAACCCAGGCCACCCAGGCCTGGGAGTTTCCTTCTAAGCAGCCCCACATACAAGCTCCCTGGGGTCCTCCCCAGATGGCCTCTGACCTCTCGGCCCGGCCCGGGAGCAGAGCCCCGGAACTGCGAGCTGGTGGGATCTCTGGGAGACTGTACTGTTGGCCACCATTCTTCACCCCTCCCTGTAGCCAGGCTCTTCACCATGTAACTTTGTTATGCGATGCTGGCTTGGCCGTGTGACTTGCTTTCACCAACAGAATGAGATGGAAGGGGCAGGTGCTGGTTTCAAGCCTCGGTCTCCATTCAGCGCCTTGCACACTTCCACCTGCACCTTTGCACCTCCATAACGAAAGGAACTTTTAGGGGTGAAATAGGCAGGTTTAGGAAATTTTAAGAACTAAGGGGTCGCCCTAACCAGTTTGGCTCAGTGGATGGAGCGTCGGCCTGCGGACTGAAGGGTCCCAGGTTCGATTACGGTCAAGGGCATGTACCTTGGTTGCGGGCACATCCCCAGTAGGGGGTGTGCAGGAGGCAGCTGATTGATGTTTCTCTCTCATCGATGTTTCTAACTCTCTATCCCTCTCCCTTCCTCTCTGTAAAAAAATCAATAAAATATATTAAAAAAAAAAAAAAGAACTAAGGGGTCCATGGAAAAAGCACAGGTCTACAGAATGGCAAGGGGTGCATTTCCATAAGACAAGGGAGCTGGGAGTGGCAGAGGCTACATTTCCATAAAACAAGGGAGCTGGGGGCAGCAAAAGGTACACATTTACAGAATAAAGGAAAGAAAGCCCCTCATTCAAAGAGGGAGGAAGAAAGCCCAAAGGGAATAGGAGAACAATAAGGGAGAAGAAGGAGGGAACCTCATGTATTTCATGTGAGGCTTGAGCTCAGGAGTTGCTATAGTGACCAAATCAAAGGGGGATAGTGGCCAATCAGAGGGGATATCGAGGCACAAAAAACTGCAGCCTTTATAAACTGTGGAAAAAGGGACTTGGTGGGACTCTTTGCCCCCCCCCCCCCCCCCCACGTGGGAGTCTGTGCTTGCTTCTCAATAAATTGCCACCTTTGCTATACCATCTTCCGACCGTGGTTTCATTCTTCGACTCCACTGGACAAAGAGCCCGGGGAGCCATCCTGCCCAGGGGAACACCACGCGTTCCAGTCCACTTTTCCCGCATCAGTAAGAACTAACCTGGGCTAGCCTCCCACATGGTGACAGACACCTGGAGCCAAACCAAGTGTACCAGCCACGACCAAGCTAGGCCAGCTAACAGCGGACCCCAGAATCCGAGCAAGCAGAGCTGAGCCCAGGAGAGCCACCCAGTCAAGCCCGGCCTCACCCACCCACCCACAAACTCTGGAGCTGAGTAGATGCTGGGGGTTGTAACAAAACCTAAATTATTGTAGCAAAAGCTGAATGGTTCTGGAACCTGCAGACCCGTGGTCAGATCTTTAAGTTGGGCTGCGTGGCTGCGTGGCTGGGAGTCCCAGCTCCACTATTCGTCAGCGAAGTGACTTCCCCTCCCTTAGACTCCTTAGACTCCTCATCTGTAAAATGGGATGAGAGCAGTTCTAACCCAACAGGAGCACCGACTGCTCTGTGTGAGGAGGAAACAACAGCGAGACCAAGTTCCTGGCCTCCTGGGGCTGCCGTCCCAGGGAGCGGATGCATAAGAAACAGATGGATCAACCACATATGTCAGTGGAGGGAAGTGCTGGGAAGGGCAGTAAAGCAGAACAAAGAAAGGAGGACTAGGGTGTGGGGGACGAGGTGCTGCTGCTTCTGATAAGGTGGTCAGGGAGCCCACTCAGAGGAGGTGACAATCCAGCCGAGGG